CAGCATATTAGAATGATTTCTGAAGGAACATGTGACACTGAAGACTGGAGTAATGATGCTGAAAAATCAGCTTTGCAATCACAGAAAAAAGTACATTTTAAAATATATTAAAATCTCTCTCTCTCTATACATACAGTATCTATCTAAAGGATTTAGATCTTTCTCTGAGTAAGAACAATGATGTAGTTGAACGCCTCTGTGCTTCTCAGCACAAACCCTGAAAAGGGCTGCAGTGAACTAAAATGTGGATTGGATCAGTCTTCAGTGCACTATCCATACAGAAAGTATCTATCTATCTATCTATCTATCTATCTATCTATCTATCTATCTATCTATCCATCCATCCATCCACACATCCATCTATCTATCCATAGACAATCTGATGTACATGTGCTTATATTGTATTTCCACATGATGAATTTCTGCCCTAGATGTGAACTCTCAGTACCATGTTTTTCCTCAGTACTGAAACTGCCTCAGCAACACAGTGAGATCTCTGAGGCGCTCCGCTCTGCTCCGTGCAGACTGGTGAACCGGCAGCTCAAAAAACGAAAACGTGAAGCTACGAGAAAAGCTAAGATTTGTGACTTGCCTCAGAGGGGGCAAACGGGGAGGTTTAGAGGGGTGTCTTGGTGGGAGCGGCTTGCGTTTTACCCTGGAACTCTGACTATTGTCAGGTTCAGTGTTTGTGATTTGAGGAGGGGGTGGTGGGGGCGGAGGATCTGGTGCTGTGATTGGCTTCGAGTGGACAAGAGGAAGGGGTGAAACTGGAGGGGGAAAACTGGTAAAGGACGACTCGGAGTGGGAGGAGCCTTCCCAGGGTGTAATACTGTCAGGGGCCACAGATGAGATGGGAGGATGGCCGCGTTTCCTCGTTTCAGCCTGAGGAGTGGATAGAGAGGGCCTCGCTAAAAACAGAAGAGATGAAAAATATAATAATCAGACCTGTTTCTGCTATTGATTAAAAAAAACTTTATTTCTCGTTAAAATTAAAGTAATTTTTTGTAATTTTGACTACATATCTAAACTGTCTATTTCTCATAATTGCAATGCGACTTTATATTTTATTACTGTGATTTTATGTCCATAACTGCAACTTTATATCTCATAATTGCAACGATTTCTTATAATTGTGATTTAATATCTCACAACTATTTCTTTATTTTGTATTTGCGATTTTATATCTCATAATTGCAGCAATTAGATAAAGGTACAATATAGTGATTCTATATCTTGTATTTGCAAATATTTCTCACAATTGCAACTTTCTTGGATTTGTGACTTTATAAACATAATCAGTTTCCTGTTTTGTTGTAGGAAACAGGATCTCATAAATTTCTAAATCCCCCTGTAATTAACTTTATCTCACACACATGTTCAGTTCCCATTATCCTCTCGCCTATCAAGTCACATTACAAAGACGAATGTTTGGACAATAGCAGTTAATTAATTTGGCACCTCCTAAATTTCTATTGTCTATTGATGAGCTCAGGTAACATTGTGTAGACAGGAGGAACAAAGATCAATGTAAACACACAGTATATATGTCACACATCACATTACTTCACATACAATGAGCCCTTAAGTCATCTGATTTCAAGTTAAATCAGCTAATATCTGACAACAACCTCTCATATAACAATTCACTATGGATTCCATATAGACTATAAAAGTACCTGCAGATTTATTTCTTGATGAACCAATCAGAGGGAGCCTATCCTTCGATATCACTGAATTGTCCTGTATAGTGAAACCACACACATAATTATGACTGTTTAAACAATACATTCTATACTTTTCTGCATATTCACTTGTATATTCGATCCATTTACTGTAATTTTTGCGGAACAGCCATACCTTATTTTCAGCCTCCTTTTTCTTTTGTTTTTGAGGCATCTTAGGGTTCTTCTTTCCAGATTCATCCTCTTTAAGGGCTTCCCGGAATCGTGACATTTTTTTCCCCAAGATCAGGACACATACGCTGGGACTCATTTCAAACAAAAGACAACATTAGCCTCACAACACACAAATTCACACTTTTACTATTGCAGAAAAGTTTTTTTATACTCACATTAATTTTTCATCCTTTTCTTTTTCACATTTTGTCTCCTCTTTACATCACATAATAATATTTTAAAAAGAATATATTCTCATTCCTTTCACATTCTGCAAACCTTAATGGGGCTTATCTGTCTCTGTTAATATCCGTCTCTCCTTCACGTGCTCTTCCCTTCCTCTCTCGCTTTCATTCGTTCAGCTGTGGATTAAAGGGGTTGGCCATCGAGCCACTATGATGATGAACAAAAGGGAACTGGAGAAGGGGGTGAAATATTTATACTTAGTTGCACAGCCAAAGCCCCCCAACACATTGTGTACCCTCTCTCTCTCACTCACCCGCATACACCTGCTGGACTGTAGCCCAGGAAAACACTGATACATTATACGTTCATGACTCTATCTCAAGCCATGAGCTACTCACACACATGCACGCATAAACAGCTGCAAAAAAATTATAATTGGTACCATTTAAAAGTTTGGACACACCTCCTCATTCTATACGATTAATAGTTTACACATTATAGAATAATAGTAAAGACATTAAAATAAAAACTAACACAAATTGAACTGTGCATCTTGTGCCAAATATAAAAAAAAGTATCTCTCTTTCTCGCTCTCTCTCTATATATATATACATACAGTATTGAAGTTTACATCTATGCTGGGCACTTCACTATTTGACCCAACTAATTCATTTTATGATTTTCATTACATTTTTTGTTTTGTAAAGAAATGTATAAATACTGTAGATATATTTTATATTTGATATATAATTTAGATCATTTTTAGCATTTCAAGCACAAGCCTCAGTGTTATTTTAGTATTATTTACTATTATCATATTTATTAATATTTTGAATTGGCTTTTATTATGATATCATTTAAATTATAATTTATTTTTAGTAATTTTGTTAAGTCCTTTTGTCATTTTCATTAGTTTAAAAAAAAAAAAAATAGTTCTATATAGTTTTACATACATTTTAGTTCAGTTTTAGTTTAAATAATTTTAGTACTCCATTTTTTTCTTTTCAGTTAGCTGCCAGGGCAACATTAAAATTTTTCCATTTTTTAGATTTCATCTAATATATTACCATAAATGATTAAATAATTTTTCATAGTTTTAGTTTACAATAACAACACGGGCCTTTATATCAAAAAGTCTGTAGGATCATGAGAAACAAAAACGTTCAAACTTTTGATTGGCTCTGTAGATCTGTATTGACTTTCATTGTTAAGTCTTACTGAAAATAAAAATGTCCTCACAAGGTACTTTACCTGACACAGAAAAAACATATTAAAAAAAGATCTTTATTTGAAAATCTCAAACTTTACAACTACAAATCTTTAGCATCCTAATTTATAAATCACAAATTAAAGTCAGTGTTTTGTCCTTGAAACATGATGTGGAAATATCACTTTCTTTCTCTCCTCTTCTTTTACTGTCCTGTTAACAGTTTCATGTAGTTCATCCATCTTTCTTTCTGTTAACTGAAACAACTGTAAGCCCTGCCCACAAACAACCACCCAGGCTCCTCCCTCTTGTCCAAACCACGCCCACAACCCAGCTGCATCTGCAGTGTGTGAGAACAGCACCTTCAGTGGGC